AAGCCAAGTCTGAGATCAGTAGAGTAGAGTCTGAGATCAGCAAAGCAGACAAGCTGTGAGGCAAGCTGGACACGCACAGAAGCTGCTGTGTGCAGAGGAAAGGAGTGAGGACTCGGCTCAAAATGCAGTGCGTGCATACCACACTATTTATTATGAACTGTTGGAACTTGAAGAGGCCATGACTAAGCTACCCAGCGGGTGTAAATCTCACCAATTTTGGATTCCTACCCGGGTTGCGAATTCTTAGCTCGAATGCAGGTAGGTACAGTGCTGTCTTAGGTTACTGCCGAGGCCACTCTCTGGATGGCCCTGCCTGTTCTTGCAGGCCCCTTTCGATGCGCTCTTATCTACAACCATGAGAAGCAGCCCTTAATCGAACTCTCGCTCCGAGTGAGCCTCCCTTTAGTGGATTTGCTGCGAGCCTTAAGTCAGGTGGCTCCCCCGGTTGGGGTTAAGGAGCCCAAAGCCCAGCTCCCTCCTGCAAAGGCGCCTGGTGGAGATACCCAACGAGGGTACCCGTCAGGGTCCCCAGCGCCTTCTGGCAATTGGCGTGGATATCCTCTCCCGCAAACATGGCACCACTCATATGGGCAACAAGCAGGTGACTTGCGGCAATCCTGGGAACCCTGTCCCACTGCACCAATTACACCAAACACGGGGCCACACACCAGCACACTGAGCACAACAAGTGACGCCCAAGTCGACGAGCAAGTTCAGCTGCTGTGGGCCCGGTCTGACCCGAAGGAAGATCCGCCCAGAGGGAGTGCGCCCGTTAAGAAACAACAGCGCCGTGAGGTGCGCTTGCGTGACCAAGCTGACCGGGAACCGGTGGCCGCCGCTCCACCGAGAGAGGCAAAACCTGGGCTGCCTCGAGAGGAAGGTGATCAGGATTGGTGTCAGGGACACTCGGACTTTAGACCCCCAGAACGACCCGGTGCGCATCCCAAAAAAGATTGTCCTGTCCAATAAGGATGGGCTGTGAGAGATCCAGTGAGAGTGGAAAATGCTGTGTCTTTGCATCGCAGTGAACATTGCCTTTTGGATTGCTTTCAAGCATAACAGTTTGAATTGGTTTCATATCTTACATTGTGAGTGGTTCAAGCTTTAAAGCAAGATAAACAGAGTGTGTGTAGACAGAAGATAGACCCAACCCAACCGCATATTCAGTGTGCCAATGTGCATGTGCAATTTATTGCACGTTCCTTGCAACGTCTGTCATATGCTTCTCTAACAAACTATCGTGCTTACTCAGCTGACACAGCTGTGGTCACCTTGGCCACCATGCCCAGCAATGCGAGATCCTCTTCATCATCTTCATCATCTTCATCATCTTCTTCATCAAGCAGCTCCTCCTCTGCAACAGACACAGCAAGGGATCCCCCCGCTGCAGAGGACACGGCAGACCATGAGGCTGATGAGCCTGAGGAGCCTCAGGCTGAGCCTGAGAAGGTGTTATGCGCAGGTGAGTCTTCAGAGTCATGAAAAAGAATGTGAAACAAAACACCGGTCCTGGTGTCTCATGTGGACATTTCCAACCCCAAGGGAATATCTGCAAGATCCGGAAGAAAGAAAAAAAGCCAGAGCCTTCATTCCAGCAGATTTCTCTAGAGAAGAGATGGCAGTCAAGTTTCGAGAAGCTTGCAGGCAGGCTGGACAAGCGCAGAATCTGCGTGAGGTGATTGTGGTCATGGAGCCACACAAGAAGTTCAAGCCTGACAGATCAGGACCTGAGATGCATTTTCATGTTGTCTTCAGAATGCGAAACAACTTTGCCCACCTGCAAATCACAAAATGGTTGGCGAACCATGCAGGATGCAGAGGTCACATGTCATACCCGCGCAAAGGATGGAAGGACATGGTGAGGTATGTCTTGGAGGACTCAGCTGTCAAGCTTCCGGTACACATGGATCAGACTCCATACTTTTGGCCAGACGAAGACAAGACAATGACAAAGGAAAAGATGCTGGAAAAAGTGGGAACTTCTAAGGAAGAAGAGGAAAAGAAAGAAAAGGCAAAGAAGGATGAAGAGTTTAAAGAACAAAAAAAAGAAAAAGAACCTTGGACTTCGCTCAGTTCACTGATTGGGTCATCAACCACAAGATCACCAATGAGGCAGAATATTGGGCGCTGGCAGGAGAACAAAAAGAAAAGAAGGACAACCCAACGTTGTGGAACTATGGTGGGCAGGTAAAAGTCGACAAAATGATCCAAAAAGCACAACGAGGCCATTTGGCTGCATTGACAACTGATGTGTTTCAGTTTGCTTCCAAGACCACGAGTCCATTTCCCTTGTCAGACTTCATCGTCCCAGATGAGATTCGCCTGTGGATGGAAAATGATACCAAAACGAAATCCCTCATCATTCAGGGAACAGGAGGTCTGGGAAAGACCCAGCTGGCCAAAGCGATTTTGGCATCATTGGGCAAGTATTTCTTCGTGGACGCAATGGACACCATCAAGCATCTATTTTTTGTTGATGGTGAAGCCTTGCTTTGCGACGATGTGTCCCTTGGTGACTATCAGATTGACCAAGTCAAGTCGATTTTGGACATTTCGTGTGACAGAGCCATAAGATGCAGGCATGAGGATGGAATAGTGCCAGCAGGAACTACCCGAATCTTTTTGACGAACCATGAGAAGCACGTATTTTTTCCTCCTGGCTTTCAGTTGCAGCAGCATCAAAATGCCATCGAAAGACGCATGACGTGGGTCGAGGTCAAAGAAGTCCTCTTCAAGACGAAGGAGATGTCAGTGCTTGAAGCTGCGAAAAGGCAGTCAGCCCAGTCTGAGATCTCCAAACCAGCAGCTCAGGGAGTGAGAGATCAGCGAGCTGGCTCAGCCAAGTCTGAGATCCCCCAAGTGAGAGATCAGCAAGCTGGCTCAGCTAAGTCTGAGATCCCCAAAGTGGCAGCTGCTGAAGTGAGAGATCAGCAAGCAGACTCTGGATCGCAACACAAGGCCTCTCAACCAAGCCCCACAGAATTTTATGAAGAAGCCTTTCTTCCAGAGGACGAGGATTTTGAGGCAGATATTGACGCAGCGCGTGGTCTTTGGGATTGCTCTGACAATGATGACCATGGTGGGCAAGGGCATGCGGCCCAGCAAGTCCCTGCTGTTCCAGAGGAGATGAAGTCTCATGATGCTGCTCCAAGTCTGAGATCAGCTGTGTCTGAGATCAGCCAGCCAAGTCTGAGATCAGCGGAGTCTGATGCAGAACCTGCCCAACATGATGCGCAGCTGGAGCAAGCTGTTCCGGAGGAGATGATGTCTCAGGATACTGCTCCAGATGCAGGTACTGCCCAACTTGATGCACACCTTGAGCAAGCTCTTGCCGAGGAGATGAAGTCTCCTGATACTGCGCCAGATGCAGGTACTGCCCAACTTGATGCACACCTTGAGCAAGCTCTTGCCGAGGAGATGAAGTCTCCTGATATTGCTCCAGGTGCAGTCACTGCCCAAGTTGATGCAGACCTTGAGCAAGCTCTTGCCGAGGAGATGAAGTCTCCTGATACTGCTCCAGATGACTCTCTTTCAGAAAGGGCGAAGCCTGAGACGCAGCAACCGGATTTGTTGATCCAGTGTGTGGCATCTCCTCAGATGCGCAGGAACAAACTGGTGATCCATATAGATATCCTGAGTGATCCATATAGAACACGCCCTGCTGCGTTGGGATCATCTCACAAAGTCTACTATGGTTCTGTGCACAGCAAGTCACAGCGTGATCGCTACAGATCCAGATCTCCTCGGTGGGGAACATCACACAAAGTGTACAGAGGTTTTGAGATTGTTTGAGAGTCTGAGATCAGCAAGGCAAGTCTGAGATCAGCAGAGTCTGAGATCAGCAAAGCACGTCTGAGATCAGCAAGCACAGTTGCACTTCAATGGGTAGCTCAGCAGCCCCATTTTGAGTTCCTATCGTATATGTGGTATGTACATGAGGGTTGTTTCAGCACACGATGCAAGGGGAATGCATCAATGATGTGCTGCGCAATGGGTTCACTTGTGTCTGAGGTGACAAAAAGTGCTCATCCAGAATCCAGAGTTGGGGTTAAGTGAAAACGTGATCCTGAAAGATAGAGCAAAATCAAAGATAGAGCAAAAGATGGAGCATTAAATCATTAGGGGTTAAGTGAAAACGCCGCCCTCAATGATGGCCCAGAGTGCTCAGTAATCTAAGCTTTTCGCGTCTTGTTTTCGTCGCCGTTCATGGAGTCAGCTGCGATTGCTGCATATCTGGATGGGCGAGAGTTTGAGATGCTATGTATTCTCATTTTCGTGAGTGGCATGTTCGTTGGAGGAGTTTTGACGCAGCTATGTTGCCGCCGTTCTGTGCAAGTGGTGATTGATGCAAGGAATCAGCAAGAGTCAATTGGAAAGAAGCAGACAAGAGATGTGAGTGTTGCAGTGAACGAGATGAACCTGCCAGTGTTCGCAGATTGGCTTGATATGCATGATTCCTACTATAGAACTGAAAAGGGAACAGTGATGCACCTGACACCATCCTGCAGCTATGCCAAAGGTCGTGCTTTGGCGCGCTTTCATTTCTGCCAGAAGTGTTTGATGATGATGTGGCATGAGGAGACCTCTGAGATCAGCAAGCCAAGTCTGAGATCAGCAAGCCAAGTCTGAGATCAGCCGAGTCTGAGATCAGCAAAGCACGTCTGAGATCAGCTGAGCCTGAGATCAGCTAGCTTCTTCTGAGATCACCGGAGTGAGATCAGCCACCGACACGGGGTGTGCACCAAACACCGCGCCAGCAAGAAAAAGATAGAACAAAAGATAGAACATTAAGTCATTAATGGGTAAGTGCAAACGCCGCCCTCAATGATGGCTGGGATTCAGATGCAATCTAGAGACGATGTTCATGTAAGCTTTTTGTTACTCATCATTGAGGGCGGCGTTTGCACTTACCCATTAATGATTTAATGCTCCATCTTTGAGGGCGGCGTTTTCACTGCTTGCTTCCTGATTTGACTTGTTGTTTTTCCTTAATGTTTGGTTTGAGATCAGCTGTGTCTGAGATCAGCGGGAACAGTTTGTTTTGAGCACTGTTGCTGTTTTTTAGTTTAATTGTTGGTCTGAGATCAGCTGTGTCTGAGATCAGCGGGAACAGTTTGTTTTGAGCGCTGTTGTTGTTTTTTAGTTTAATTGTTGGTCTGAGATCAGCTGTGTCTGAGATCAGCATTTTGTTTTTGTTTTATGTCTTTGAGTTCATTGACATGCTAGCGTTTGGGGCTTACAGATTTCATTTTCGCGCATCTGTTTGGATTGTCGACATGGCGATTCAGGCGGGAACTACTATTTTTTTTTAAATTGTGCGTTGCTGTCGCAGGGTGTTGCAGTATGTTGTGTTCGTACGCGAGGCCGTTGGAGCTATTAACATGGCGTCTACCTTGTACATTGGCAACCGACGACTCTGTGAGCGTCTCTGTCTTAGTATTTATTCTTTTGTATAAAGGTCAGATTCTTCTTGCTGCAAAATACATGAAGACAGACGGCATGAGACACGTCTGCAACTGTGCACGCCTAACCTCTGTCCAGGAAATGAAGAATTTCAGTACAAGAAGCCATTTGCCGATGCGACTTTCTTGGTCTGTGAGACACAAACTGTGTCAGGCCTAGAGATAGCTATGCTACTTTTTGTGTTCTCTGCGCCATTTTTTTTTGATTGGACAGGACAGGAGGGGAAGATAATGATTGTGGAATGTGCAGATGTTGCTACCTCAGCTGTCACCAGAGACTTTCAGTGTTTCTTGAGTTTAGCCAGTCTGAGATTAGTCTCAGGCTGAGCGGCAGCTGGTTTGGCGCGCGTATGAGGGCCATTGGGGCCCAGATCGCGTTTCAGTCGTGAGGGAAAGGCTGTGTTTTAGATGTCGGGGTAGCAACGTTCTCGTGGCCGGGTATCACCAATGGGAGATCAACAACACAGAAGATGGTGCCCAGCCTGAATCTTGGTCGGAATGGCCAATGAGTTGCAGGTCTCGGTGGACCTAAGTCAGAGATCAGCCTTGTCTGAGATCTGCAGGTGTCAGAGATCAGCTTTGTTTGAGATCTGCTGGCCACAGCACATCGTTGGTTGACCTCAATTAGTCATTGATAGGTTCATGGCATGAGGGTTTGCCTTGTCAGAGATCAGCCTTGTCTGAGATCTGCCGGCCACAGTACAGCGAATTTGTTTTTGATAGGTTCATGGCCTAAGTCGGAGAGACCTGCACGGCCTGAGACCTGCCGGCGCCGTTCTTGACATCAATTTGTTATTGATGGGTTCATGGCATGGGGGTCTGCCTTGTCAGAGATCAGCCTTGTCTGAGATCTGCCGGCCACAGCACATCGTTCGTGGTTGACATCGATTTGTTATTGATAGGTTCATGGCTTAAGTCAGAGACTTGCCCCGCCAGAGACCCGCCGGCGCCGGCACAGCAGGTCATCTATGAACAGATTGGAGGAAAAATCTGCTGTTTGAGATCAGCCTCGCTTTTGTCTGAGATGAGTTTTTTTGTTACTCAGCTTTGTGTGAGATCAGCATTGAGATTCTGGAAAGGTTTTGCTTCATCATATGGCTTTTGGCCCGATGTCAGCTCAGTCTGAAATCGACATTGTCGGACATCAGCATTGAACAGCATTGAGATTCTGGAATGTTTTTTCATCATCAAATGCCTTTTGTCTGAGGCCAGCTTAGTTTGGAATCAGCATTGTTTGAGATCAGCGTTCACATTCAGGAATGGTTTTTTTCTTCATCATATGACCTTTCGCCTGGGTCAGCTTAGTCTGCAATCAGCATTGTTTGAGATCAGCATTCATATTCAGGAATGGTTTTTTCTTCATCATATGGCCTTTCTCCTGGGTCAGCTTAGTCTGGAATCAGTATTGTTTGAGATCAGCATTCATATTCAGGAACGGTTTTTCTTCATCATATGGCCTTTCTCCTGGGTCAGCTTAGTCTGCAATCAACTTTGTTTTTGCTTCATCTCACGGCTCAGCTGTCAGAGATCAGATTTGTCTGAGATTAGCTTTGTCTGAGATCAGCTCGTCTGAGATCAGCTTTGTCTGAGATCAGCTCAGTCTGAGCTCTGGCAGTTGTCTCTGATGGCGGGCGCTGACCGGTGGCCGAACTGCGCCTTCACAATGGATGATGTGAATTCATTTTGCCAAATGCTCATTGCGCGAAGCTCGACCGCGACAGTGAGCGAAGGTTTGCAAAGGCAGCTGGAGCATCTTTGGACCCTTGCATATAACAATGAGGAGTTGGAGACCGCCAGGGGACCGAAGTGTGACTCACGTCTTGTGCAGATTGAGAAGGTGGATGACCTCCTGGACCCTCTTCCAAAGCTTCTTGATGATGTCTTCGAGATGAAGAAGAGGAAGGAAGGGGAAGTGAATTCCCAAAATCCAGAGAAGGCAATCGAGATCAGAGGCACAGGATCTCAGATAGTGTATTATCACTCTACGGTGATCAATGGTGGAGATTGCAATTGTCCCATCACTTTTGGAGGTCAAGCGTATAAAGAAGCCCTGGAACAAAGTGTCAGGGGTGCCAATTCGACTGTGGAAGGAGTGGCTTTGCAGAGTTGGATCCGAGACAATTTGCTGAGTGTGGATTCTTGGTACTCCGAAAAGTTGAGTGTCTTGACTTTGACAATTGAATGTCCTGGTTGTGATTTGGTTTTTGCGAGCGTGTTTGTGTTGGTTTTGTTTGGGTTCCAGTCTGAGATCAGCAAAGTCTGAGATCAGCGTTTTTGTTTTTGGTCTGT